ACTATCATGTTGGGCGGACGAAGCCAAGAGTGCCTGGCTTGTGGTTCAACGTCACCACGAACGGCGTATCGATATGCAATAACATGCGTAGCATCAGATTGCTGAAGTGAGCTGTTGCTCCTACCAAGCCAAAGAACTATATCACATGGTTCAAAGGGGCTACCATTGTCTACAATTTGACGAAGCCCATTGTTATCCTGTATGAGCAGGTCTTGAATGGAACTTCTGTTCATCCCACATATCGGAGATGTGCATATCAAAAGTCCCTGGAAACGCTCATTTTTTTTCTTGCTTGCAGACTGCTTTTCCCCTGCAAGTTGTACTTGTATGTTGTTGGTCACTGCCTAGGACATAAAAATAGCTGGTTCGGCCCAGCCCTGATCAAGTTAGGGTGATTCCTTGCAGCGTTGTAAAGATGGCATTCTATGTTGGTGGCCTTGCACAATATGGAATGTAGCCATCAGCTCAACGCAGATATCTTGGCCCTTGATTGTTTCTTCTCTGGAACCGGACCTTCATCGATGATTTGATTAGATTAGTTGTCGGAGGAGTATACGGCTCCATCTTCTCAGCTGCTCACTATTCCAATGGCTAGACTTGTGACAGGTTACATGTGCTATGGCTGTTTTCAATGGTCTCTTGTCCCGCATATACCTAATGACCCCGCACCCCACTACATAACCTACCCGATAACATCAAACCGAGAAAACACGTCAATTACCTTGTAAGATTCGATTTCATTCTATGTTTGAAGAGCCCAGCGTTTTTAAACTCATAATTCATATCATAACTTTCGGCAGCACTTACTGGCGCGAAGCAGCGCGGCACTGACTTAAGTCCCTAGCCTCCGCTATCTTTTAATTTACCAACGCGATGTCTGTGGCACCACGCCTAAGATCCCGAAGTTCCGGCTTAGATCTAAACGAGCTTCTTCTTCAGGGCACCCTAGATGTACTTGATTAGATTTAGATCCGGGCTGTGAGGCGGCCAATCGATGTGGGCGATGCCGTGCACTTGAAGCCATTCACCCAGTTAGGTTACGTGTTTGATTAGGGGTCAACTATTTCCGTCTCCGTCTTATGTCTCATTATAGAGGTGCTTAAATCAAGGCGTGATTTCGGCCTTGAGGTCTCGCCGTGCAGAGAGGCCTTTCGATGCATGTATCGTTTATGCTGGTATTGTTGGTGAAAACGAAGTACTAATACACACTTCGGCAAGAGAAGTGGTCACTTCACTTTTGCCGAGTGGTCTGTTCAACAGGTATCTACATAGGTAAAACGAGGCCGAGTTCCTCCACGCTGCCCGAAGGCATTACGCACCACGTGCTGGGCTGCGTATTGTTGGCTTTTGTCGCCTGACTCACCCGCAACAAAAGCTCAACTCCGCTATTAATATCATCACTGGGGCAGTACCCCATTCTCACCTTTAGTAGTCGTGTGTTTATACGCTGCGTTTCTTATTACACATACAATGAACGAGCCGATATGCTACAGATACCGAGCCCGACTAAGCAATGATTATCGGCCACAACCTAGCAGTCGCTTCACGTCGTAATGACGGCAACCGCGAAAACCGAGAAGATCGAGGCTCTTTTAATCCCAACACACGCTTTAGAGTCATACGGATACCATGCTCTAAATTAAGCCGGGCGGCTATAGAAGCAGAGCGGATGGCAGCAATCTCCTTCCTTACGAATAATACGCTGGAGCGGTCTACTCGGCTGAGAAAACTGAGGCCAACGCCTCGGATATCTTCAAAGAACCCGAGCCAGTTGAAGACTCCCAAGACTCTAGCGATGGAAAAAAGAATCAGGGAATACCTCTTTCCGTTAAAAGAGGACCAAAAAATATCACCGGAGACCCGATATATGTTTCATTCGCGGCCACTTCTACGTCCAGTGTCCGAACTAGATTGGGTTGTGTCGTGTTCGCCTTGGAACAAATACTAATGGCCTGGCTTGAGTAGGCGAGATTAGGCAGCCTTCTAAAAAACGAATGGGAAGATAGTCTCGTTGTCCCCGCCGTCGAGAGCCAACATTCTCAACAGTGCGACTTACTACTCAGGCATGGAGCCGATCCAAACCCGAACGACTCCCAAGAGATGAGCCCTCTTGGCCTCGTGACGCCCTGCTCAAAGCAGGGGCGCGTCCCATTTCCAATTTTCCAAGGCAGAGGATTATCCCCTGATCAGAGCTGTCAAGTTCTACGACCTTGGAATAGCACGAGAAATACTTCAGTCCGGTGATGACATCTCGCTCAGCTACCAGAAAATAAGTCACGGGTCGCCTCTCGTCCTCGCGGTCAGATAATTCAACGTGGATCTAGTGGCGCTCTTGCTCGAATATGTCCGTAGTTTGCCTCGTTGGAAGTAACATGGCGTGATATGGTGCGCTGTCGAAGAATCCTTCAAAGTCGAACCCGATTCTGCTACTGCAGTACTGAGGCTCCTCATGCCCCATTCCACCCAGCTAAAGGGCTTGCCGTCTCTTCATCCAGCTATGTTGAAAGGGAATTGAGCCTTAGCCCACGCGTTGACTGAGCTGAGAATGGATGCTAATGCGCTAAACAACAACTTCAACACCCCGCTACCATAAATCGCGTAGAAATTGCGAAACAAAAAAGCTACGAATAATGAAACAGCTGATCAACTGAGGCGCTAGTGTCATTGGCACCGACATCGATGGACAGACCGCGTTATACGTCTGCATCAATCGATACAGCAGTCGCAAAAACCTATAAGAAGATTCCCGAGGGGAGGTCATCTCTTCCTCTTAGACCACGGTGCAGACTCGGACGCTGGGGACAAGAAAAGTACACTCCTGTTCGTGGCCGCGCGCTTAGATGGCCGCAAGGCTTTCCATATATAGTTAACTATCCTCATCCCTCGGGAATCATTACGATACTTGTTGAAGATTATCGTACCTCGGAGCTCATACAGGAAGACAACTCTCAGGTATTTTATCTCTACATTTGGATCATAGGAATAACACTGGAAAGAAAGATCTTTTGCATAGGCAACTGTTTAACATTATTACACAGAATATTACAGAGAAATACAACTCAGCTCATTATTTAAAAGTAAAAGCATGTAATTCTCAAGGCAGCTCGTTATTAATTGCACAGGGATCTGTCCTCGCGATTTCTGCAATATAAAATAGACTTAAATAAGCTGTTACAAGGTTGCTAATTAATATTACAGTGTATTGCAAATCATAAAATACTGAATTATTAGAACTTCTTCTTGGCAAAGGAGTAAGTGTAAATGTTGCCCGTAGAGAGACTAATCTCATATTAGCTAGAGAAGTAGTAGGAGGTTATCTGGGAACAGCCGAAGCCCTGGTGAGCAAATCTGGTCGTGCTTACTCAAGCGTAGCTGTAAGCCAAACTCCCCAACAGTGTCGAAAGCATCCTGGTAAATGGCGCGTGCTGCAAGTTTGAGGACGATGATCGATTCATGCCGCGGCGAGACATGATACAATTCGGAGGACTGGGTTCCGCATCGGAAAGACAGACCCGTGGGTCTCATACCGCTACTCATTCATGCAATGTACCGGAGCAACACCGACATTACCCGGCTACTGTTGCAAGATGCGGCTGTTCAAACTCTGCGTTTAATAATCTCTCGCCTCTCTATAATGTCCGAGATGTAAAAGACCGCAAACGGGATCCAAGAACATATAGCAATAGCCAAAGAGACCAAGGCATAGTACAGCTACCTCTGGATATAAGTCGGATATTAATCTGGAACCACCAACTCCGCTATATTATAAATGCCTTCAGATATCAAGGTTAGAATGTTTTAGCTAGCCTGAGGGTTAATAAACTAGACTTACTCAGAGAGCTATTTAACTACTAACAATTGTTTTACAACTTTATTCTAATACCGCAGAAGCATTTGGCTAGTATAAATCTAGTAGTATTATATTGATTTTGCTTTTTGCAGCATGCTTGTGTACAATAGGGTGGGCGATCTGCAGGGGAATGACTTATCGCACCGGAAGACTTCCGAGATGACAGCGGCAAAGATAGCAGCGGAGACAAGGCAGCACAGCAGGGAGTAATAGCGTCGATCACTTCCGGCAGATGCATAAGCGTTACAAGGGCAGACCGGAGGCCGCGCAATCCAGCGGCATATTGTATCAGATGCCTAGTTCTTGGCCTCTTGGCTGTATCAAGTCGCTTGCAAAAGGACTGAGACCGCAGCACGAATATGCAAAAACTTACATGGCAAGGGCTCTATTCCTCAGCTGTGTGTATTATTCTGGTTTGTTTACTAATAATATTCTTATCCCTTACTTTTTCACAAGCTGCTTGCTATAAACCCATCTCTTTCGCTTTGTCTTATTATGCGCCAAGATTAATGTGACTGATACCATCGGAGATTCCGTTGTTGTCTTCGGCATTGCCATCCTTGTAATTGCCACAAAATTGCCTAACAAAGTTATCGCTGGGTTTGGTAGTAAATGAGGCCACATCGGTATTCTTGTAGACAACACTGTTGGAAAGAACGCCTTTCTCTTGTCTTATTGCCTCGCAATTATTATACCGGATACCAATGGCCAAATTAATAGCAGCAGTTTCAGTACCCTTCAACTGGCATTCTTTGGGCTACGATTACTGTGTTTACATCAACTCTCTAGTTCAATAGCAAGTTCAAGTTTCGGAATGAGGGAGTCATGTTATGTAGTACTCGGCGTCGCGATGTTTATCATCTTGGCGTTTACTATTATCCACAATTTGGCCGTTGAAAGGTAACTGCCTAACTGCACACGAAGCTGCCAAGAATTGGATACTCCGTACGCACCGACGACCGTCCAGTAGAATCCCTGTCCATTGTTATCTTGACTTTAACGGCATTCGTGCCCCACCTTCTTTCTTTAGATCTATTTATGCTTATTTTAAAAAAAGACAAGCCTTAAATCCGGCAGGATGAAGATGGCAAGCAAGCCCAAGATTCCCTTTTTGATCCATGTTCTATTCCTGTAATTCTAATTCATCATTGGAACTAGCAAGGGTTCAAGCCTCTGCGTATTGTTCTAGTCTTCCATCTTGGCCTTCCTTTTTGTCCTTGCAGCCCGCCATTGTTGCCCCCAATACCAGTTTACCGCAGCAAACGGTGCCATTGCTACCGTGATTAATGCTAAGCCTAGGAAGGCCCACGCGGGCCCGATATTGGTAATCATGGCCTCGACAAACGCAACTCCAACAGCGCCGAGCCCGCACCGTACTAGGTTGTTGATGGCCGTACTGCTAGCGCCTTTGCCGGGACACAAGTCCGACACGAGCGTCTGGTTTAGCGCAAAGATGGCATTGCTCATTGCGGCAATTAGAAACTGCAAAGCGAGTGGCACCGCTATCCACCCGGGTTTGGATGTCAAGGTTGGATATGCAAGTGTAAAACCATACGCGGCAGTGGATACAGTAAAGAGACTTGCGATCCACGGCAGGTGCCGTAGACGTGCGTGCTCGATGGGGAAATCGGCTGGGATGTCCTTGGCCGGGACTTTATACGAGGGTGGTAGATTTTGCGCAAGTTTGTAGGCCACCTCAGCTGCTTTATAGTCGCGCGTCATCAGTTTGCCAATCATAGCAGAGCCGGCGATGGTGCCGCAACCTGTAGGAGAAGTATCGATTAGTCAAGGTTGGAGTAGGAGAATGCTCGTGGAAAGAAAAACGTACCGTTGGGTAGGTAAACTAGGCCAAGGAAGAGTTCGTTAAGGCCAAAGCGTGACTTGAAAAGGTTTGTGGTACTGGATGTTACCATACTCCAAATGGCATATACCACGCCCCCAAACAGCAGATTCAGGAAAATATCCTTCTCCGCCAGAAGCCTTAGAGGCTCAATGAACGTTATGAGGGTCACTTTCTTTCGCTGGACCGTTTCGTTAGGGTCCTGCATATATGGTGGCTCCACGGAGATCCTCGCAACGAGTGGCTTGTAAATACCAGTGAGCCGCAGAGAGCCGTTTCCGGCGATGGTCCGCAGGGTCTCAGGCAGAAACAAGATGAGCATTATGATAACTAGTGAGGAAAGTATGGCCAGAAAAATGAAGATGGACCGGAAGCCGAAGGTGTTTGCCAAGACGCCACCTAGAACAGGACCAATAGCGATGCTGAAGTTACGAACTGTTGAGTGAATTCTGCGTAAGCTTTGTGGACTGGATCTATGAATCTTCAGATGGCATCAAGGTACTTACTGGCCTGGTAGAAGCTGATAAAAGCCCCTCTCTCAGATGGTGGAGAGATATCTTGAATAACGCCATTTCCTTTTGATCAATAACGTCAACAATAGTATCTAGAAGAGCCAAGTAGGTAACAGACCACTTACCAATGCTTACAGTAGAGGCGCTACCTGCCGCTTGCAGACCTCTAAAGACCAAAAGAACAGGGAAATTGGGAGAAAGGCTAAGCACAATGTTGGAAATAATATAGACCGTGAAAGAAGCGATGTAAATAGGCCGCCGTCCCACCGTGTCCGACAGTGAACCCCAAAGCAATGGTGACACGCCTTGAATGATGAGGTACGACGTGATGGTCAGGGAAACAGCGTCGATACCAACATTGAGATCCTGCTCTCTTGTCAGTAATGTTCAAAAGACGCACACAGTTGACTTACCTTTGCAATTGCGTCTAGTGACGGGAAGTAGATATTTGACGACAAGCCCGAGAACAGGCCTGCGACTCCAATGACGCCCACGAGGAATTTTTTCCGGCCACTCGGGAATACGTGATATGGCTGTCCCAGTTCAGTGTCCGGAACGGCCCGCGTTTCCTCTGCTTTTGCCGCCGGAGCTATTGCCTCTGAGGAGTCACACAGCACGCCAGGTGTATCTGTGGCGTTTAGACTTGTTCTGGCTTCACTCAAGTCAGTGATGGTTAGTCGAGGCGAGGCATCTTTCGCCTGAGATTTGCAATTGTCCTGTTGGTCCATGTTGATTCTCTATCAAGTCTGATATATATGAGGGTCCTACTCTGAGCAGAATCGAGGGAACGCGGGAGAGAGAGATTGTCTGGTATTTAAAAGGGGATGCAAGGGTCCGTTGAGCAAAAGTACGGATGGCACAGCATTAAGCAAGAAAAAATAAAAACCTGCTTTCGATGCTTATATTCTTCACAACGTTGTACTAATGCATACAACGTTCTTGATGTCTATCTTGTATCAACAGGGTGCCCGATGTAATGCCAAGCAATGGAACACTGACATGGCATAAAGTAAGATTCGGTGATGACATTTTAAGCCTTGCAAGTGAACAATGTACAGTACCGATAACGCTTGATAATGCAAAAGTCCGTGCCATGCAACTCTTGCACCGCCCGCCTCCGGGGCTTAGACTCTCTAGATCTCTAGCTCTCTTGAATAAGCCCGATAACACTGTAAGCTAGATGAATCTTCCCTGCCGGTGGAGACTTGAGATAGACTGGGTACCATTTTACGCATCGGAACCAGGGCGAAGACAAAGTGGGCGCGTCTTGGCAGCCCCTGATGGTGGTTCAAGCTCTAACAGGGGCCACCTTACTGGCATAAGATCGACCAGGACGGAGACTTTTAAAATACTGCTATTTGTCAAAGACTTACCATATTTCCGCATCACTATATAAAGAGGGCAGGTGACAAATAACTCGGAGAGTGGCTACAACAGCAGCTGGCTTCGGCATATCCTTCTTACCTACTTAAGGAAGAGCATCAGCGGCAGTGGCATTGACTCTAGCAAAACTGGCAAGACAGAGCCGTGCTATAGCATTGGTCACAGCAATTATTACACCATCACCAACGAGCATTTTTACTATGTTTGTAGCCGTGAGCGCAAATCCGGTGACTGTAACAGTGACTGCAACACGGGCACCGGCCTTTGTAATCTCTGGCGTTGGGATGTCAGCGGTTGATCTTCAGGCGCCGAATTGGAATATCATCGAGGCAAACGCAACATCTACTACTGCCACAATGCTTTTTAAAAAAACAACTACGACAATATCATCACAAACCGGTGTATTCATTGGTATAGTGGGAGCAGCAGGTAAAACTTCCTTGATATTATACCCAATTGGCTAAGGTTGATGCTAACTTGTATTATTAGCTGGACTATCAATTCTAGGTGTAATAGCAATTATCCTTTTACGCAAAAAGAAAAGAGTAAAGGAAGTACAAGTTTAAAAATTACTTTCGATAAGTTACTAAAAAAATTATTTTGTATATATTACTACCAATATTACCAAATTGCTCTAGCCCTCGAGCGTCTGCAGGCAAGCGTTCTAATCCGCTTCTATTCTTGGTTTCGATGTTGTCTAATACAGCTCCTCTTTCTTAGAGAGCTCTCTAACAAGGCTATATTTAGGACTGAACACAAGTGCTAACACATAGGCCTGCAATGGAGCAATCTTAATTAGCCGTCTATGTATATAAAAGAATAAAGCAACGCGTGTCTTGAAGCAGTTGTACCAATTGCTGCGCGCCTAGATGTTGCTAATAGACTTGTTAGACTACTTCTAGTATATTTCCTGAGCAATTTACCACCAGAGCCTCGAGCTTGTGTACCACTTGTATGCTCTCTGACATGCTCCGCAGGAGACTAAGACATTCCAGCCAATACAAGTACTTCTCCTGGATGAATCCATGGACATTCCCGTTATCCTGTAGAGCATTGTTGATTTCTGTGGAATCTGAGTCATAGAGATAGTAAACCCAGTAGACGCACGAATATTGAACCAAGGTCTGGCGGCGGGACTTGATCGATAGGAAATCATGGAGCGTTTAGGCTGTAGATGTCTGTCGAAGAGTTTCTAACAGGGCCCCTAGCGACCTCAAGAAGAGAGCATGGTGCTAGTGTACTGTGCCAAAAGGTAGGATTTAGTTAGAGCCTTGTTAATTAGAAAGTCCTTGGCCAACTGATGCACAAAGTACATCATTCGCTTATAGAGAGGATCGAGTCCTGCTGGGAATAGCTTCAATTTGGAGAGTGCATACTGTTTTCGGATCACCCTAGTATCTACAAGCTCCTAATAGACCAAGTCGACCTAGAGGAAAGTGCCATTGGCATTAGAAGTCAGGGGGTTCTTTATAGAGTCGCTTGTTTCCCTGTTGTAGCCCTTAAGGTCTGCCAGCTCCTCCACCTTGTATCCAACGTATGTGTCAACAGCCTGGGAGATGGAGTCTTGGTTCAGCGTGAGCTGAGGCCAGACTATCTGCTTCATACAGCCGAGTTTCTCCTCAATATCTTGTTAGTTGCAGCTAGATATAATCCACTTGACTCAAGACAGTTTGATAATGAAATCGAGGAGATGGTTGCGGCTTGTCTTGCATTCATCGAGGGTATCAACAACCAGGATAGCATTGTCTAAAATCGGGTCACTATTAAGCATGGCTGCAAGGATCTTGGATAAGGCTTCCCAGGCATTTCTATCCTCGAAAAGTTACTTACCTTACCATTGTGTTACTTAGCCTTAGTAGCTTGGCAGAAGAAGTAGGACAGGTGATTGCTAGGTATAGTTATACCAAACCCATTTTTCGCGCCTTTCTTTCATTCTTTCTCATAGCTTTTATATAAGTCCTTATTTGACATGTCTTACGTAATATCTTTAGCCAGCATAAAATAAGGTATCTATTTCTAGGTAATATCAGAGGTATATATATATATTACTAAACCTTTAATTATACCCTTTATAGTCGAAAAACTCATTTCCATTATCTTGGAATTTGTGATATAAATAGAATAAGTCTTTCGCACTAAAACACTTGAAGCAGAGCTTGAAATCCCTGTATTTTAGGCATTCGAATGTTTGCCCATAGATTTCCTTTCAAGACACAAAGATAAATTAGAATCCAAGACCAAATACTCTTAAGCAAAGAGTAGTACAGTTATCAATAAGATACTTACCAAAAGATATACTATACAAAAAGTCTTGTAAAAATACCAATTGCTAGAACTTAATAAAGTATTACTTTTATTATAGTCTAGGGATAAATATCTGTAATAAACTATACACTAGATAGTTAATATAGGGTAGATTTCTTAAGGGATAAACCTAGTAATAATTCTAGGTTTATATTAGTAAAGCAGTTAGGAAACCTAATAGGTAATATAAGCAATAGTAATAATATTATATAATAAACTATACACTAGATAGTTAATATAGGGTAGATTCCCAAGGGATAAACCTAGTAAATAATTCTAGGTTTATATTAGTAAAGCAGTTAAGAAACCTAATAGGTAATATAGGTAATAGTAAATAAATATTACTAAAATATAAGTAGTATAAAGTATATTATAATCTTAATTCTATATTAATAACTAGCTATTTAAAACTATTTTTAAGTAAGTGTAAAAAGTATATATATATTTTATTATTTATAAATATTTATTTTTCTAAAGTAAATATTTTTTTATATTAGGAATTTATTTACTAGTATTTATTTTCTTAAAGTAAATATAATCCTAATTAGCTATATTAGCTAAAGGTTTCTTTATTATATATATCCTATAGGTTTATTTATTATAACTATAAGTTATTAAATTATAATATAATACTCCCTTTTTATTAATCTTATTCCTAAGGCCTAGCTTACTATTTATAAGTAAGTTTAAGCCCTTAGTTATATTAAGTAAGTAACTTTCTTTTATTATTATTATTATACCTACCCTTTATTCCCCTTTAAGCCTTGCCCATGCCTTAATAAAAAGCGGGGGTCCCTAGTAGCTGCTGCCCTTATATAACTTAATAACTAGGCCCTAAAGCTGCCCCCTTATATAACTTAATAATTTGCCTTATAGCCTAATATAGTATAGTATAGTAGGGAACTAGGAGGAAAAAGCCAGCTAGCTAGGCTAAGCTAAGGCTAAAATATAAAATAAAATATTTTATTTTTATATATATATAAAATAAATAAATATTTACTAGCTACTTATAGTAAATACCTTTAGGAAAGGGATATATTTTATTTTACTTTACTATTACTATATATAATATATCTTACTTAATATAATTATATAAGATATAAATATAAAATATATTATATAAATAAATATATTATATAGTTATATTATATTAATATATTATATAAATAAAAGAAAAGAGTTATTTAGTAGTAATTATTAGCTAGCTTAATATATATATAATAATAAATAATAAATATAATAATAATAATAATAGAATAAAGGGTAGTAGCTAAGCCTATTTATAGTATAATAGAACTTCTTCTTGCTTATTTAAAAAGCTAGCTGCTTTTAGCTAGCTGCCTTATCTTATTCCACTATAAATTAGTAATAATTACTTAGTTAGTAGTAATAAAAGGCAGCTTAGTAAATAAACAGCTGCCTTAATAAATTACTATAGCTTCTGCTACAGCTATTATAAAACTATATAGTAAGCGGCCTACTATATATAAGCCCTTTCTCTTCCCCCCTTTATATTATTATTATTATAGGCTAGGCTATTATAATAGGATTAGGTTAATATTATAAGAAATATAAATATATATAAGAGGGGGCATTAAATATAAGTTCCCTTTCCCTTCTTTTTTTATTTATTTATATTTATTTTAAGTTTAGCTAGCTTATTATATAAAAAAATTCCTTATATTATATATTTATATTATTATATAAAGTAGTAATTTAAATAATTAACTACTACTTACTTATTTACTACTATTTTAAATAACTATTTAAATAACAGCTACTACTACTATTTAAATAACTAGCTATTACTTACTTACCTACTACTATTTATTTAAATAACTATTTAAATAACAGCTACTACTACTATTTAAATAATAGCTATTATCTCTTTTAAACTAAATTATATAAGGCCTAATAAAAAAAATATCCTTTAAGGGAAAAATATTATAAGCTATCTTTAAGTCTAGCTAGCCTATTATAAAATTCCCTATTATATATTATATATTATATATAAAATAGTAATTAATAATTAACTACTACTTACTACTTTTTAAATAATAACTATTATTATATTATCTAGGTAAATAATAACTACTATTATTATTTAAATAAGAATTACTATTATTTAAAGATAATAATAACTATTTAAATAATAGCTATTACTTAAATAACTATTTAAATAATTATAACGAATTGTACACTAGATAGTTAGTATAGGGTAGATTCCCAAGGGATAAACCTAGTAAATAATTCTGGGTTTATGTTAACGGAATAGTTAGGAAACTTAATAGGCAATAGTAAATAATATTACTAGATGGTAGAAGTGTAAAGCGTATTGTAATCTTAATTCTATGTTAATAATTAGCTATTTAAGTTATTTAAATAAGTGTAGAGAAGTGAACTTATATATTTAGTTTAGTTATGTGTAATTATAGTTATAGTGGTAATTACTATAGTAGTTACTAGGATGGTGTTAGTAAGCGCAGGAGTAATTACTTGTAGTGCAGTAATTACTTTCTTTTAGTTAGTTATTTAGAATATAGTATATTCTTTCCGGGGCCTACTAGTGCAACTAAGTGTTATTAGGTTATAATATAATGCTCCCTTCTTGTTAGTCTTGTTTTTAAGGCCTA